TCATCCTCATCCTCATCCTCATCCTCATCCTCATCATCATCATCATCATCATCATCATCATCATCTTCATCATCACTATTTCTCCTCCTCATCCTCCTCCTTCTCCTCCTCCTCCTCCTCTTTCCTCCTCCTCCTCCCGCAAGCAAGAACTACAAGAACTTCCGGCGGTCCTCACGGATTCCTTGTACCGGCGGTGGATCCCCCTCCCCAGCGCGCGAAGCTGGCCAGCGGAGGCGCCAGAGGCGCCAACAGGGGGAGGGCCCGCGCGCAGAGGAATCCGCGCGGACAACTCGTATTCATGTTCTTCCTCGATCCTCCTGGACGAGGTCTTCGCCGCAGGGGGTGAAGGAGAGCTGAAGGGGGGCACGCGGGGGGAACGTCGAGCTGGAATCGGCCATACATCGCCGATACATCGGCGACAGGCCCCCGATGACGAATTCGAGCGGTGCTGGGCTCTATGTCCCCCTCTAACGTTGCCCCCTTTGGTATCCGGGCCACAACTCGACTCTCCGGCGGCCGCTCGGGACGACCCCGGCCCCCCGCAGCGCTCTCGGCGAGGCACAGCTGCTGGAGCGCACCCCAGGGCCAGAGCACCTCCGGGAGCCGACGCAGACACCCGATCATCTTAAACAGAGATCCCCTCTCCAACTCGACGGCGCTCGAGGGATCGCCTCTCAACGAGGGGCCGGCGCGAGAGGGAGGGGGCTTCTGAAGGGACGCACAAACAAATACACACACACACAAATAACCGGATTCCCCATAGTTTCCCATATTTTCTGGGTTTTTGTCTTCCCCCCCCACTCTCCATAGTTTCTCATGCTTTCGGGGGAATCGACGATTCATTGTGTCTGTGTGTTCTTTTCCCTCCTGAGCTTCTGGGGAAGCGGCAGGGTTTCCGAGAGGGCAGCGGGAGCTTCTCGGCAGCACCTCCCGAGCCCCGAGAGGCCCACGGCGCACGTGCGAAGGCCTTCGGAGACCCTCGAGCGAAGGCCTCCGCCCCCCGACGCCGGCCCTGACGCAGGGGGCGCCACGACGCGCGGTCTCCGCCGCAAGCTCGCGGCGCGCACGGGGGGGTGGGGGTTGGGTCGGGCATGTCCTCCCACAGGCGAATTGTGCAAGACAAAAAAAGACAGGCAGGCAACAATCAAACAGATCAACAAAACTCGGAAATAGTCGCAAGACCGTGTTTGACCTATTCTTGACGATTCCTCCTGTAGAGGGTCGTGCCCGACTGAAGGGTAGGGGAGTGGGGAAGGCATCTTAGAATGATGAGGCTGCTGCGTAGAAGGTGCCGGACCTGCATCTATAGATAAGGCCCGCGCCTTCTCATAAGTAGATCTGCTTCCGAGAAGCCTTCCCCTCTCCACCTATCCCCCTTCTATGCGTGGCCGAGCGTCGCTCCTCCCACCCCCCTCTCGCCATCGCTCGGACGTCCACTTCCCCTGGATGTTTCGGTGTCGTGCGTGTAGTTGTTTTTGGGTTGTTGTTGTTGTTGATGTTGCTGTTGCTGTTGGTGTTGCTGTTGTTGTTGTTGTTGTTGTTGTTGTTGTTGTTCGTGTTATTGTTATTATTGGTGTTGTTGTTGTTGCTGCTGCTGCTGTTGTTGTTGTTGTTGTTGTTGTTGTTGTTGATTGCGTATTGGTTTGGCTTCGCAAGGTGAACAAACGTGTTCCTCGATGACCCTTGCCAAGAAACAACGCACTCGTCCGAGCGATGCCACACCCCTCTGAACATGTTGCATCATCGCGTGAACTCGTATGTCTCGTCGCGGCCCTATCCGCGTCAAATCCGTGCCGAATCCATGTCGGACTCGTCGGATCTGTATCGAATCCATGTCGAATCCGCGTCGAGCCCGCGCCAAATCCGCGTCGAGCCCGCGTCGGGCACAAGAAAAGCCACCACTTTTGGGGACCCGCGAAGTCCCCCGAAGATTCAACACAACTCTGCGCGTGGCTGAAGGAGCGCGTCCAGAAGTCGTCGGCGCGTCGGCGACGTTGACGTGGCGCAAATCGGACTCAGATCGAGCCGCATCGCCGATGCATCGGCGATGCCAGGCGATCATCCGACCCCATCCACTCGGCCCCTTCAGTGGAGGACAGTCCACAAGAACCCCCCCACAAGAAACCCAACCCTCAGGCCCCAGGACGTCCATCGAGTCTTGGTGTGGGAACGTCACGCATTCCACAGCAAAATCATCGAAAGCCACGACATCCAGGGCACCTTGGAGGCAAGCAGAGTGTTTCTTGGCATGGGCCTCCACTGTATCTGGGAGGCCTGATTTTTTTCGCACGGTGGACAAACAGTGCTCCTCGATGGTTCTCACCGAGGAAGCGCACACGTCCGAGCGATGCCACGCCCCTTCTGCGCGTGGCTGCAGGAGCGCCCCGCCTCCGCGGGGCTCCACCGCCCAGAGCACGCGGGGGGGGGGGGGGGGGGGAGCGCGCGCGCGCGGGCGTAGGCGGCGCGCCGCAGCCACACCCAGCCAAGGGCACCTCGCCGCCGCTCGCTCGCTCGGGGCCCTCGATTGGTCGATCGAACGCCGAGGAGCATGGATCGAGCAGCGATAGTAGAAGAATAACAATGATAATACGAATAATACTTCGACAAAGAAGCATCATACTACGTATTAGGATACTTATGATGATGCTAATAAGCATGGTAATGAACAAAATACGTAGACAAAAACTTTTGGCGCTCCGCGTGGATTCTTGGGTCTGCGCTGGACCCCCTCCCTGGAGCGCGGAGCGCGCCAGGGGCGGCGCCGGAGGCGCCGCCAGGGGGGGGGGCCAGCGCGGATCCAAGAAATCCGCGCGGAGCGCCAAGAGTTTATGTTTATGCAGTTCTTGTTTCTGCTTCGAGATCGAGCCCCGAGGATCGGGGATCGAGCAGCGATAGGACCCCGATGGAGAGGCCGCCGTGCAGTGTGGGTCCCGCACGCCCCAGTCGGCGACGAGCCGACCGCCGAGCCAGACCGCCCATATCGCCCCCTCCCTGGAGGTCGGGATTCAGCTGCCGGCAGGACGCTCCCAGGCGGTGCCATGACAAAGAACCAGTCGAGAATGGCTCGAGGGTCGAGGATGGCTCGACGAGGAGGTGGAGGAGGGGGAGGGGGAGGGGGAGGGGGAGGAGGAGGAGGAGGAGGAGGAGGAGGAGGAGGAGGAGGAGGAGGAGGAGGAGGAGCAAGGGGAGGAGCAGGAGGAGGAGGAGGAGGAGGAGGAGGAGGAGGAGGTGCGCTGATTCCATCGGCGGTCAACCATCCAGGGGAAGACATAAAGTTAAAGATGACGCACGTGGGAGAGACGGAGAGAGGGAGAGAGAGACAGAAGAGAGAGAGAGAGAGAGAATATAAACCATAAAATAAGAAGATAGTGCGAAAGAAAGAGAGACAAAGAGAGAGAGAGACGTTATCCGCCAAACCCCGCTTGCCCGGGGTGAAAAGGCGTGTGATACATTAGGCTGTCCCTCTCCCCCTTTTCCCTCTCCCCCAGGGTCCAAAATCCGATCAGAGGGGGTGGGGACGAGTTCGTCAACAATCCCGGGGTCTCTCAGGAGCCCCAGAAAGCCCCAAGGCAGCCCAACAGGGCCCAGACAGAGCGCCAAGACAGTCGAAGAGAGCGTCATGACGGCCCAGGGTAGCCCACGACGCGCCAAGATGGCTTTCAGCTCGCCCACGAGGCCCCAGACAGCCCAAAAGCGCCACCAGAGGATCGCCGAGAGGGCCCAAGGAGGTCACAATCATGTCACTCCCTAGGGGCAACGCGCATGTTCAGCACAGTTGCATTTTACGTCTTTGCAGCGAGAAACGGCGGCCCAAGTGGCACCGAAGATCGTCCCAGGACGGCGCGTGATGCCTCCAAGAAGGCCCAAAGACTGCCCACGAGGGCCCAAAGCCAGCCCCGGGGGCCCCCCAAGACGGCCCAAGACAGTCCCTGAAGGGCACCAATACTCTTGGGGCTTACTGGGCCCCGGAAACGACAGGGCCGTTTTTTCACCGTTTTCGAAAAAAATGCCCCTGAAAAATGGAACGGCAAAAAAACGGCGACCGGAAACGGCAAAAAAAACGGCTCCAAGCTTGGAACCGGGGCCGGAACCGGTCAAAAAACGGCGACAGAACCGGTAGAAAAACGGCGTCGGAACCGGCAAAAAAACGGCAAAACGGAACCAGGAAAAAAACGGCCCTGTCGTTTCCAGAACCCACCAAGTCTTGGGGCCCTCTTGGGCCAAAAGGGCTCCAGGAAAGCCCACGAGGGGGAATACAAACCGACATTTCAAGCCCTTCCCACCGAGATGGCCCCTCGAGCCACCCAGGATGCCCACGAGGGCCCTCCCAGGGCCCCAAAGGTGCCTCCAAGGCGCCCTCGAGATGCCCCCCCTAGGCCCCCACGAGACCCCCAAAAAGCAGATGCCCCCAAGGTAACCCAAGAGGCCGCCAAAGGGCATCCCATGAGACCCTCAGATGCATCCAGGAGGCTCCTGACACAAGATGTAACCTGCACGATCGTCTCAAACACTCACTCCGTTTGGGGGGTCCGCTGGATGGCGTAAGCCCCTTGATTCCAAGCAATAGCAACATACTGCGAACTCTCCTCTTCTTCATCCTCCTCTCCTTGCCGTTGTCGTTGCCCACCGCCCTCTCCTCCTGCAACTATCATGTTGTCGTAGTGGACGCTGGAGAAGGAAGGAAGGGGCTCTTCCGGCCACGAACATGCTCCCCGACCTGGATCCTGGATCCAAGGGCCGGCCCGAAAACCAGAGCCCCTCCTAAGCCCAAGATGGCCCTTAGTTCGGCGTCTGTGAGTACCGTTTAGCCGATCCCCATCCCCAGCGGCGTGGCCTGGGCCCCACTGGCCGACTTACCCCCCCAGATAGGGATATGGGCCGTTTCGAGGCGTGAATCCCCGACTGGGGCGGCAACTTGGTGGGGGTCTCGAAGGGGACGGGGATGGGGAAGGGGATCGTTCAAAGGATGCCGAGTCTGAAGGGGCCCTGGGACACATAAATAAATACACACACATAAAAATGTTCCCCATATTTCCCAATATTTTCTGGGTTTCTGTCTTCCCCCCCACTTCCCACATTTTCCCATATTTTCTGGAGGATCGACGATTAATTGTGGCTGTGTTTTTCCCCTCCTGACTAACGCCTCCTCCCCCTCTGCCCAGACACCCGCGGCAGCCGCTGCCACCGGTCCCCGCCGGTGCCCGCGGGACCCTCGCGGCCGCTCATCAACCCCCCCCCCTGCTGCTCGACGGGGGCTCCTCCTCCTCCCCGCCCGCCCTGCTCCCGCGTGTCAACTCCTCCTCTGCTGCTCGGTCCGTCCCTGCCTCCACCTCCTTCTCCTCCTCCTCTTCCTCCTCCTCCTCCTCCTCCTCCTCGCCTGCTGCCATCGCCCGGGTCCTCGCTCTCTTCCCGCTCATCCGCCTGTCACCTCGCCCTTTTCTTCTCCTCCTCCACCCCCACCCCCTCCCCTCCCCTCCCCTTCCTCCTCCACCTCCTCCTCCTCCTCCTCCTCCTCCTCGTCCGCCTGATCTGCCCCAACTCCCGTATCCCTCTCCGCACTCCTCCGCATCTGCCGCATCCTCCGCCCCTCCCGCCCTCTCCGACACTCCTGCCCCCTGCTCCTCCGTTAGCTGGGGAAGCCAAAAAGGCACCGATACCGCTACATTCTGGACATCTCCTGAAGAGCGTCCTGACAAGGATTTCGAGGCGAATCCAGCGGTGGCGACGAGGGCCTCCCCGGAGCTCCAAACAAGCGAAAACGAGGGAAGGGTAGCGGTATGGAGTACCGTTTCCTCCTCCGACTATCCTCGCGCCCCTCCTCCTCCTCCTCCTCCTCCTCCTCCTCCTCCTCCTCCTCCTCCTCCTCCTCCTCCTCCTCCTCCTCCTCCGCCTCCTCGTCTGCCTTGCCGTGGCGACGAGGGCCTCCCAGAACGCCCCCAAAGAGGCGAAGACGGGAAAAGTGTGGCGGTATGGGAGGCCTGGAAATGGGCACCAACACCAAGACAGAGGGCTGCCTCCACAGGGGGGAGGTGATCCTACATTTCGGTGTTGGTGGTAATATTTCGGCCACCTTGGAAGCCAGAACATTACCACCATCACCGAGATCGGGATCTTCTTCCCTCGGTGGAGGAACACCGCCGATCTTGGTGTTGGTGTCAACCTCTAGGCCTGCGACGGTATGGATTCCCCTGCCTCCTCCGCTGATCCCTCCTCCTCGCGCCCCTCCTCCTCCTCCGCCTCGGCCGTCTTCTCGCCGTCGCCGAGGCCACCGCCGGGGCCGTCCGGGCTCCCCCCCGGCACCCACGACGGCCGCTGCCAGCACTCCGCCTGCCCAGCGCGCGGGGGGTGGAGGGGGGGGGCCTCCTCCTCCTCCTCCTCCTCCTCCTCCTCCTCCTCCTCCTCCTCCTCCTCCTCTTCCTGCTCCTCCTCCTCCTCCTCCTCCTCCTCCCTCCCTCCCTCCCATTCTCCTCCTCCTCCTCCTCCTCCTCCTCCTCCTCCTCCTTCTCCTCCTCCCTCACCTTCGCCTCCGCCGCGTCCGGCCCAAAGGGAGGGGCACCAAGGCAGGGAGCGCGGTCACGATCGATAAAAGGCAGATCGTGTCACTGGAGGCCTCCTGGATCTATGTTGCTCCCATCGTACTGAAGGACCACATCCCAGAAATCCGCTGGCCCCCTTTGCGGGGCCATCAGGCTGCGAGGATTAAGGTTGCTGCTCCCTGCACCAGTTCCAGTTTCCTGTTTCCATTGTTACAATACTGCTTTCTGCTTCCTACTGTAATTTGTTACTGTCCGCGCGAGGGGGGGAGCCGGAAAGGGCCCTGGTGAGCGTCCCCCGGGATGGTTCTCAGAATTTCTGGGGGGGCGTGAGACACGTAAAAATACGGGAGCGTCGTGCCCCCCCTCGCAAATTACGCTGTATTCGCTTCCCGAGGCCACGATCCCTCGTAAACTACGCCACGCTCGCGTCTCCGAAGCTACGATCCTTTGCAATTTACGCCCGACCTAAGCCTGGTGCTCAGATTCGCGGTGCGTGGCAGCGCGAGGCTGCGGAGCGCCCGGCAGGAGCCGCGGCGCCGAGGCCTCCGACGGGCTGAAGGTCGATCTCGCTCTGGCCTGTCCACGGGCGGCAGGGCCACGAGTGGACTACGCTCGCGACGACACCGATAGAGAGCTCTGCTCAGAATGGGCAGGAACTTTCTGTGGCAACCCACGGGAGCCTCCTATGCCTTCTTGATGGCTCTTGCGAATCGACGCTCATCGACGCCAGTAGACGCTAATTCGATGCTTTCTCACCGACTGCCAGACGCTAGCGCACGCTGATGCACTCTAGCGACGGAATTGCGAGGACATACGGCAAGTTCGTGTCGTGACGACTCCGGCGTTGGTTTCTGGCACCGCGGGGATCGCTCAACCTTGAACGATCGGCCGTTTCCGAAGCGTCAGATCGTTTAACATCGACCGATTCTGGGTCGCCAGCGGCGTCCAACGTGGCGGGGTCGCCGCCGGTCGACACGACACGAACCTACCGTAAGGAATTGCTGTCAGTCTTAGTGCTGCAACGAGGGCCGCCCAGAGTGGGCGCCGCGCAACACGGGGTGGAGGGAGGGGGGAGGGCTCATTAGATGGAGACTGTGCCTCTTAGAAGGCGATGACCTTACGTCTGTAGACGAGGCACACACCCTCTAAGAAGCAGGGGCACTTGTAAGAAGCCCTCCTCTTGAACGAATGGCCGTTTCCGAAACGCCAGATCGTTCAACATCGACCGATTCTGGGTCGCCAGTGCCGTCCAACATTAGACGCCAGCCGCGGCGGCAGAGATAGTTCAACATCGACCGATTCTGGGTCGCTGGCGGCGTCGTCCAACATTGGACGCCAGCGGCAGCGTCAGATCGTTCAACATCGACCGATTCTGGGTCGCCAGCGGCGTCCAACATTGGACGCCAGGCTGGCGGCGGGGTCGCTGGCGGTCGACACACGAAGCCAAAAGACTGAGCAAAAGAAGCCCAATTCGGGGATATACGATGGGTGGCGCCCATCTTCGACATGGGGTGCGTCCGGCCCCCCCCAAGGTTGCATCGCCGAGTTCTCCTCCCTTTCTGAGAGGCAAGTTCTTCTACGGGGACATCTCGCGGAGTGAGGGCGCCTGCGAGGGGAAAAGACGCCCGTGACGTCGAGCCGCACCCAGCCGAGGTCGGATGGACCAACCCCGTGGGTCCAAAGCGCGGCACTGCGCGAGACACGGGCACGCGAAGGAGTCCGACTAGGTCCGTTTCTTCCCTTCTCCTCCTCATTCCCCTTCCTCCTCCCCACATCCTCCCTCCTACTCCCCAACGCCTCCCTCTTCCTCCACCTGCTCGTCCTCTCCCTCCTCCGCCTCCTCCCCCGTCATGCCCCCCCTCCTCCTCCGATCTCTCGTCGTCCTACTCCGCCTCCGCCCTCTCGGGTTCGGCCACTAAGGGGGCGTCCAAGAGGGGGGGGTGCAAATCATGGACGGCAGCAAGTGCGTGGTTCGGGGGGGGGACCTGGGGACGCATCGAAACAAGAAGAGGCGCTACAAGATCTGGGGAGATCTCACGGCCCCCGCCATGATACCCACACACCCCTGGTCATCCCCCCCCCTCTCGGCCGACCCCATTCCTCCTCCCTCCTTCTCCTTCTTCTCCTCTTCCTCCTCCTCCTCCTCCCCTCCACCCTCGCCTCCTCCAACTCCTCCAACTCCTCCAACTCCTCCTCCTCCTCCTCCTCCTCCTCCTCCTCCTCCTCCTCCTCCTCCTCCTCCTCCTGGGGCCGCGGGGGGGGGGAGGGGGCGAGAGGCTGGGCCTAAAGCGCCAGCGGGCAGCTCCCCACCATCGCGCATGGCATGGGGGCAGGGGCCGATGCCCAAGCGACCCCTCCTTGGCGGGGGCCCCTGGA